TTCTTTGTGATCCATGTTGGATAATACATATTATTGATTATTAACGAATAATAATATTTGAATTAATTTATACAGTGGAATCTGGCTTAATGTTTTAATTCGTTCCATAATTTCCGGATTTTTAGTCGTATAGTGAAACACTTTTAAATCCATTTAATATTTTAATGAATTTTACTTTAATAATTAATTTTAAATTTAGTTTGTTTCAATTAGAGAAACTTACATTTATGTGCAATAACATGCGCCAATACTCTGAAATTCTATATTTAACTAAAGGTTAGTTAATTGTTGTCATAAGGTTTAAACAAAGTCTAATTCTTTTCATTAATTTTTATTTTCTATTAAGTATAAAAAGTATAACAATATTCAGCCCAAAAAAATAAATTATATATATAAGCAGTTCATGATGCATTTCATACAGTTCTGAAAGAAACATATGTTCATTAAATTAAATTTAAAAAAACAACAGTGTTCAGGATAGAAATTAACAATTAGACGTTATTTTTATATGTATATATTTGAATTCATTTAGTACATTTTGAACATTTCAAAATAACAAATAAATCGTTCGCATTATTATTTTTTTTGTAAACAAAAATAAAAATAAACATGTGCTCTATATCGACTTACGGTGCACGTTATGTCATTAAAGTGTTTCGAAAAAAAAAATATACAAAGATACAAATAATAGTTTATATAAAGGTCATTGCAGTACGATCATGACAAACAAAATAAGAGAAATAAAAGCTGCCGTCAAAGCATTATTGCTTATAGTTTCGATATCATATTTTGTGCATCAAGTAGAAAGGTAGCAGTCGGTGTGTGTGTGTGTTCCAATTTTCTTTCAGCCGTTATTATACAAATTCAAAAAAATAATAATAATAGAAATAAATAATATTTACAAACATAAGTACATAACAAACAGACTAATTTCACGTATATCTTCATCCCTTTTCGCTCCTAACAAACAATCTGAAGATCAGTCCAAATTATACATATATATATAAAAAGAAAGGTACAACAAAATCATTATTAGATGATACAAGATTTGAATTCTATCACAAATTCAATTACAATTATTTATTATTTACGTTTTTTTTTTTAATATATATTTACAATGTAGTAATAATTAACGATATCCCAAAGGAAATGAGCTACATTCCACACGTTTGGATATCGGTCGATTGAAAAAAACGTTTACGATTGCTTTCGTAACACTTTTTGAAGAATGTAAGGTTTTCCTCTACAAAGCAAATGCACTGAAGATTCAGTGCGCAGTGTCTGTCACTAAACATTACTCTCGTTACTATTTTGATCGTTGGACGCGCCAAACCACTGTCACAATGTCTGGTACTCGTGGAGAAGACCTCCAGGTGCATGATAGAGGGGCTGTCCCATGTTGGCCGCCCCAAGGGATGGATACGTGTTGATTTGGGGCGGAACACCAACTGGCACTGACGGGACGTACGAAGACACTTTATGCGTTCCTTCTGTTTCACTGTCGGATCCGCTGGAGTCCAAATGTGGTTTGTCGCTTCCCCCGGGAGTACTGAAAGGAAAGAAAAATATAAATAAGTAAATCAAATTGGAACGTTTTCTTCATTCTCTCTCGTTCAGTTAAAGCATTGATTATGATGATGATGATTCGAGTTTGGTTCTTGTATGAACACGTTTCCGCTCGATTGGATGTTGGTAAATTAAGTTGTAGTTTGTGGAGAGTTTTGAAATATGTGCGATTGTAATATATAAATATGGGATGTAATTGAATATAAAATGGTGGTTGTGAATGCGCGTCCCGGAGTCCCGTTTGGTTGCGGATGAACTTAACGTTTACGTGGGATCGTATTACTCGATGCAGCCCGCAGGTGTAACCCGATCTGACAAGACCTGATGTGCTTTCCACCGTACGAACCCGGTGTAGGTGGTCTCAATGCATCCTCATAACTAAAACTAATTTTCATGCATCTAACACATAAATCTAATCTAATCCCCCTCACGTAACAACGACTCCGACTAATAAAACATTAGCGCTCGACGTAACTTCTTCTGTGCCGAAAAGTCGTGTCCGGACTCTTGTAACATCAATTTACATCGATGTTAAACAAAACTGTACAAATACACTGGTAAATTCACTGTATTACCATATTCTTCAAACACTACACAAACAGTTTCTATCAATGAGTATTATATCTGTATATTATATACAATAATTTCAATACATTACCTAATTATTTTATGAAATATCATATATATAGAATAATTCTACAAAAAGAATTCATATACAATATTTATTGTTACTTATTAGTGCGTAACACTTGGAGTGGACACAGGATTATTTTTCTATACAAACTATAACATCATTTTAGAAATTCAAAGAAAACATTTATTTTCTTCAACAATTAATATTTTATAGATTATTAAAAACAATACATTTCAATAAGTTTCTTTTTGACTGAAAGTATAATGTATTAACAACTTTTTAATCTATTATTGATTTGATTTATACTTAATATCAGGTAGAAAACAAAAAACAAGATATTTTACATTTAACAAACGATGCTTTTTGTTGATAAATTTATACTTTTCAGAAGTTAGCAGCATGTAAACCAGAAAGCTTTAAAATGTATCCATTAAAGACAGATTCGCATTTAAACGCAGCTCGTCGCAAACACGCCGAGCGAAAAATATCGGTACCATTAAATGAAATGGGTGTATCCACGACAACGACAGTTACAAAGATCAGAAGAAGGATTGTCGCGAAGCGCAATGTTCAGCTCGGAACCATCGAAGTAAATAAATAGATACACACTCATTCGAATAAAATAACTTCAGCTACTTTATTTCTAACATTAACAAATCGCACGTTTTCAGAAAAAACAATTATAATATTTATGTTAGCTTAAAGCGAATTTATTTCCTACCCTTAAATTGTAGATTGGACGCTTGATAGTTTGATTAGATGATAAGAAAGGTTCCAACGCCTTTTCTTTTAAGAAAAAAAAACAACACATCTAGTGTTCAGGTATTTTGTAGAGAATCCACGCACGACACAAGAAATATTGTAAATTCCTTTTGATACCTAACACCATTTCTATATTCATTTAAATTGAGACGTAACATTTCTAAACACCCGTTCACGTTCTAAATCTCTGCATTTTATTATTGAATTTAAATATTATGAATATTATAATTATGTTTCGTTTTCGGTTTATTAGTAAATCTTGAATACTTAATTATAATCAAAACATATTTACTAAATGATATGAAGTTTATTTGTTTATACACCTTGATATATGCAGTTAGCTTCAATACATAAGTCGCATAACTATAACTGATTATAAATTTGTTGCGCAACGGCGTAGTGAAATGGATACGGTATCACTTAAAACGAATGATCAACAGTGTGTCATATCTCTGATTTGTGGGACGTTGTGCAAATTGTGATTTATGCGGAATAGATTAACACCGAGAACGAATATGTGTTGTATATGTATAAAATAAATGAGTGGAAATAAATGTTAATTGAATATTCGGAGATCGAAATAAAATCGGATCCTATCCTAGTTTCGAGACTGATGGCATAATGTTGTTATTGGCAGAGTGTTCAAACTTTATATTACATGCAATAAATCCATTGGAATTAGATAGATGCACTGCTATTATTCCCATGCACCATTATGTATATACATACATATATACATTAAGCCAAGTTTCGATGCCAAATATCTAATTTCAACTGTGTGTGAAAACTTTATATTTTTAAACCTGATTTACATTTGCAAAAGCATTGCACAGTTTTTGTGCAATTCCTGATGATTGACTGTTATTGACTGTGAAATCATCATATCATTTATTTTCTACATTTATTTATTAAAAACATATTTTGTACACGTTTTTTTATGTAATAAAATCTTTTAGAAAATCTGGTAGAAATTTATATATTTTCCATCCTTACAAATTCCATCATTCAAGTAATTATTGCAAATAAAAAGAAACATTATATAAGTAAATATCAAAAATTATATTTATTATACTTTATACTTATTCGATCCGTCGTTCTTCTTTGTAGACTTGCTTTTATTCTCTTTTGTAACAAATACTTGCTTTGCAATATTATCGTATGAAATTGATTTATAAAATTATTGTCATTTATTGCAATTAAAAACAAATAACTAATTCATATTAATTACAACTCTTGATTAATTATCTAAGTAAATTTACAAAAAAAAATCTTCAATTTTACTAACAAAAATTGTATTTGTTCAATACCAATTATTCGATTTAGTCGTTTTTCGTATTATTTAAATTTGTGAAATGAATTAAAAAAAATGATTATTTCAATTATTTGTTATTTCTTTATAAAAAAGTAAGTATATTTATAAGCTCATTGATAATAAACAAAACTTGGTACTTGCCCGAAACTCTTGTAATGTAAATATACACGTTATACGAGGAATATCTGTATTGAATATTTGAGTATGTGTAAAAATTGCGATGTTTAAGTAGACGCATTATTATGAATTGACTTAGAGGTAATTTGGATTGTGTCTGTTGAAGTAATTGCATTGTTTTGCTAAAGACGATGTGCAATGAGAAGACATAAGTATAGCAGTGCGAAGAAGCGAACGCTCTAAATATAGGTACAATTAATAAAGTATCAAAGTTGTTGGGCAGCAACGATTCTAATAATACGTAAGCAACGAATGTTGCTGCCTGTCATTAAACATATTTCGTTTTAAACATGTGCAAAATGTAGTAGGTTTATACGAAAATAACTATATTATTAGAGAATGTAATAGCCCTTCCACAATGATCTTTTGCGGTTATTTGCAGTGGTAGTGAAGATAATGAACACGCAAATACAATAATTTGCAAAACGAAAAGAGCCCTCACAAGTAATGACCGAAATGCACGGTCATTATATAGTTACAGTTTCCGTTCAGATTTCTCCCTGAAATTGAAAGAAGAAGAGAAAAAAAAAGAGAGAAAAACAAACACGCGGAGCGCGTGTTCAAGGAGGATGCGTGTATTGAATGCATATGAATCGATTAGGAACAACTGAGAAAGTCCTTTTGTTTTCGGCCGAGAAAAGAAAAAGCTTCTGACAGGGAAATTAATGGTTAAATAAACACTTAATATGGGCATTCTCTCCCAGACTCTGCTGGAGAGAGAGTGTGCATAGTGACAAGTGGTTACCATATGTTTACCGTCCACCCTCTTTCTTATTATGACGGGAGGTCCTCGTCCTTTTTTTTTCCTCCTCATTCGTTTCCCTCTTCTTCTTTAGTTCGCTCTTCCTTCTCTCTTATATTCTTTTTTCTTGTGTGTTACATGAAGTTTCTCTACCGAAACCATTTAAATCATTTGCTCCTAAAAGACTCATTACCAATTCTCTTGTCCAACATGTGGTACCCCAAATTCAGAACCGGAATGCCGACTTCTAGGAAGCAATTGGTATTAATTTGCGTTCGAAAACACATAACTTGCATAAATGTTGCCATGTGGTCTTAGTGGCCTTAGCAGCCAGCAGTAACAAGACAAAAGGGAAAACACAAGTAAAATTATAAGAAGAAAAAAAACGAAGAAATTACTGCCTTCCGATACGGGCACAGCCACCCTCGGGCTCGGTCTCAAATAAAATACCAATTACAACCAACAAACTGCATCGTAATTTTTATACTTTCGCTTTTGAGAAATAACAAAAACAAAACAAAAGAAGTGGAAGAAGAAGAAGGTAAAACGAGGACCGCACAATAACATCGATGATCATATTAATTTACTTTAAACAGACTTTTGGATACAAGCCTTGTTAATAAAAAATCACGACCGGCATCGTTTATACATATTTATGGTGATTTAAGTTATATATTATTGCCGTTCTTTCGTTGCGCAAGGAAAGAAATAATATATATAATAATTTCAAACTGGTATTTTTTAACGACCACGAAACAACAACATCGAAATATCCAACAATTACTTTAACGTACTCACATTTATTTCATTCTAATTAAAGTATGTTTATACAATTTTTATGAAATAAAATATAATTAATATGATTTTCAATTGTCTTGTGAGATGGTCTTTTTCCACAAATATATATATTATTTTGAGTTAATTCTTTTAGCTCTTTCAAAAAATCACTTTGCATCCCAAAACACTAATGCCACGACCTTCTCTGCTGTTAGAACAGTCTTTGCCTTCTTTAGTGCACTTAGACCAGCTTTGAACCATTGATTAATGGTGAATTCAAGTTTCATCCAAAGTTATAAATCAACGAACAAAATCAGCTTTATTCTTATTAAAACGATCTAAAAACGCTTGAGAAATTCACATTCATATATGTTACTTTAAATATAATTAAATAATTCGAATATTTGCCAATAAATCAAATTTATATCAAAATGTTAACAATAAGCGAAGTTTTGTTAAACATATTTTTGATAATATATTTTTTCTACTATTTCATAATAAATAGTATAACAAAACTTTGCGAAATCTTATGAATTGTGATGATAATATCAAGCGAATTGTTCTTTGATTTACATTTTACTTAAGTATTTAGTAACATTATTTATTTTTTCTATGGGTGATTTTCTATTACCAATACAAATTATTCGTTATGAACTCTTCACAATATAAATTTGATTTCATTTGATCTAGATTCTTAATCAAATGCAAACATTTACAAAATATACTTGAACAAAAATTAATATATATTTCTTAATTTTGATGTTATTAAGAGAATTTTATGCAGGAAAACGTTTGCCTTGGTTAAAATTAATAACTATATGGTTTTAACAATAAATGGTATAATGCTTGGTGGTGATAAAGGGGCTGCGGATGGCTGGGGATGGATGATGAGCGGTTGATTGAAGCGCTATAGTAATGTTTGAACAGACACTGTTGTTTTGGTGAAACCCGATATCTGCTGCGCCCTCGTTAGAACAGAGGGGAAAAGGAAAACCGCCGTCGTATCCTATTACCAACACAACACTGATCTCACTCATCAATAGGTATAAAACATCATTTCATATATATCTATATATACATGAAAAAAGAGAGAAAAGGAGAAGATGAGAGAAAGAGAGTGGTCCCAGTGGATCGAAAAATTTATACGAAATAATAATTCGATCATCGGCCAGACTAATTAATTTCGTTCTTCTTAGAAGCAAGTGAAACGTAGGGACAAAACCGCATCGTCCATGAATATTCCATCATAAATAATATTAATATCGGCTTAACATAATTTATGAAACAATGTTCGTTCGCATGCGACTTGAAGAAAATACAAAATAATATAATAATAAGAAAAGGAGAATGCATTTGCATAGAAACAACTTCCTCTGGTTCAGTTACGTACGTGTGATTAATATGATTTATAAACGGTTGTAATTGAAATTTATATTTGCCTTTTCACAGATACACGTCTTACATATACATAGACTTTTCTTTAAATTAGTTATAATAATGCAAGATGATTTACTCCGTTCTATTGAATTTGCATTTTCCCAACCGTCGTTACGATTATTATATTAATATTTACGTTTCGTTCGCTTCGAGCGAGAGTATTAACGCAGAATGCAAGACAAGAGCTTCTTCTTTAATTGTTATTACATCATTTTCAGTGATGCTCGGCCGTAAAGCGTTCGAGGTAGGAAAACACGAGTTTCGCATCGCGAGGAAACAGTATTAAGCGAAATACAAACATCATTAAACTTTACGGCCGGTATGGGATTTTATTTAATCATATCTCGCTTCCATAACTGTCCTTAATTAATTCCTTCGCATGTGCAAAAGTGGTAGTAGATGCAATTTCATTCGGGAATGCAAAAAATATTGACCACGACGCAATACAGTTTATTTTTGTTTGCGTTCTTTTCCTTGAAGCCACCAAAAATGTATTGTACCTTGGTCCAAATATCATCTAAGCTGCGCACTAGAAATTTAGTAAATCTCTATCATAATACACTCAAAACATTTATTTTAGTTTATGTGTTAACTAAATAATAGTAAACTAAATCGTTAAATTTTACATTCAATATGAAGTTTAAATATTTAACTTTGCTCACATTTATTTTTTTGCAGTTTGAAAATTTAAAAAACAATTATGGCTTAAGTACAACATTAAATTAAAACTGGTTGCAAATATTTAAAAAAGAAAATGTATTAAATTATTACTTAAGAGATATTAAAAAATTCAATGAATAATATTCACATTAATAAAAGTTGATTTACCACACAAGCTAGGTAATAAATTATTTTACTATTATTCCGTAGAATTTATCATTTACAATATATTCTTCATAAGTCATGTTGAAAATCTAAATGGTTTTAGTATACGAATATTTTCATCAATATATGAAATAACTTTCTATTAGATTGGAAATACCGTTATAATAATATGAAATAACTCAAAGAGTCCGGTTACCCCAAAACCGGACTAATCGAGGAACTAAATGAAATAGAATCAAAACGTCAGAAATAGAGATTTATCTGTATAAAAAGAAAAAATCACGATCAAATATTTTGTGTTTGTTTTGTAATTTTCAATATTAAATCTATCAGATGCTGTACTATGTTCATTTGTAAATATTTGCGTAAATTTTATAAAAAAAACTACTACTAATACTTTTGCATTTATTTAATAAAATTTATATAAGATTAAATAAATGCGAAAGTATGTTTAAGTACACTATAAAACCATTGGAAGCTTATCATTCCTGGACATCTTTAGATTGAAGAGAAATTTGGTGTTTTTTAAAAAATGGCTTTAGAAGACTAACACCGTGTGCAGAGGAGGCAGACCATTATCTTAAATCAGTCGTGGCAACAATTCCGATCGAAGGAGAGGATAAATCTCCGCTTTCACGCATTCCCAATGCTAGTCGACAATTTTATTTTTATTTTTGTGTAAAAAAAAAAGTTATTTCCAGTTGACGAATAATTCATTTGTGGAGACAACGGCACATCAAATAAAGTGTTCGTCCTTCTATAGGAATGATTTAATAGTGTACACATAATAATTTAATAATAATTTGGAGTCCACTTCAGAGAGACGTGGAAGACTAATTGCCTGAACACGGGCGTTATGTACTAACACGTTCCATATACCACGAGGCTTCAACCATAACTAGGATACATTTATGTGAGTTATAACTCAAGTAAAGTTTAAATCATTTAACTTCTTAAATATTCACTTTAATTATATAATTAGGTAAAATAATTTCGGTCTATAACTTTTCAGTCATAATTGTGTTTAATTATATAATTATAATTATTATTACAATTGAATTTTTCACTCTTTATAAACATCATAATTTTAGTGAAATAATTATACTTCGATAACGAAAACAAACAAAAATAAATGAAATTTAACAAAGAAGTAAATGAAAATCAATTCTAAACTTCATAATTTTAAAGAATTATATAAAATAGTAATATTTGCAATTACGCATTTATAAATAGAAAAATAAGTGTAATATCTTATAAAATTGCATATGAAATATTCAACATATTAAGAGAAGTTCGAAGTTCAGTACGTGCCATAAACAAAAAATGTATTTATTTGTGCAGGCGAAAAAAAAGAATGAAGAAGTACATAAACAAACAATTGAATGTTTGCATAAACTGTAGATAAAGTCGAATTACGCATTCATGTATGAAGTTATTCCTTTAAATATTTACAAGCGATTTTACAATTGCATTTGTGAATGCTAAGATGATTGACTCAACAATTGATTTATGTGCTAGTGTTTGCACTTTCATTCAATGTCCAGGAATGAGCATGGAAATGTTGCATACGAGTGATAATCGCATGGAATTCATCATTAACTCTGTATTTTATTTATTTATTCGTATATTCACCTCCCATTAATGCAATATAAATTGCGTTTTTATCATAACAAACGCTACGTGAAATTAATTTAAAAAAAACGAAACAAGTTTATATATGATAAAATTCTTTAGAAACTTAATACTGTATAGATACATTAAAAATGATAATAAAATAATGTTAATTGCTCAATTATCTTAAGTTTATTTTTGTTGTTGTTTTTTAATTAAATGAGTTGCGTGCATATATTTTTTTTTAATTTCAAGAGAGTATTCTATATTAAATAGAATTTGTTTGGACGGTCTCAAGTTCGCAGTTATTTCTATTTCTAGTGGTGTTGTATGAAGCCTGGAAACTGAGAATAGCCCTAGCGCGTGTTAGCTATTTTAGACTTCCGCCACTCGACACCATATAATACACAAGATGCTAAATTTCAAGCTGGATTCGAAATGATCAAACAATTAAAACCTTCCTTCCTCGATGCTGCTGGTGGTGGATGATGGCCGGAGCGAAACCCGTAAAGTTTTATAAATATATTTTTTATGGTTGTACTAATTAACCTTCCGATGTGTGTGTGTGTGTGCAACCCTGCACAACCTGCGTATCGTAAACTTTCGTTTTAAATTACTTCAGGAAACAGTTTTTTCCCCTTCTCCCTTCTTCCACCGGTACGTTTCTGTTTTTTTTATTTTTATTTTCTTCTTTTAGCTTTCGTTTCTGACTTATGCACATATCCGAATCATGACTTTATGATCGACTAAAAATACGTGGTGCACGCATATAATAAACCAACCCCCTTCTTTATTGGAATGTTTTCGAAATCATAAAATTTGAGGTAGAGATTTTGTCTACGGGACCGGTGGTGTCTCGGTGATTAATGGTCCGGTGCGAAGCTCTGTTGGAAGCAATTTTAAGACATCTCGTGTTACCCAGCAAACATCGACGGCACAAAGCCAAAATATTTTACAACATAATTACGCCGCTCTAGAAACCCGAAATTTTTCTCATCGCTCCGACTTATTTCATTATGTTGGATGCGCGAAATGGACGGATCCTGCGGGATCGCAGGCGAAAGTGTGGTGGTTTAAATATATATAGTTTGAAAGCAAGGAACATTTGTTTGGAAATTAGAGAAGTGGGCTACAAAACGACGCCAGGTTATAGGAGAGCCGACGCCGAGTCCAGAAATAGCTTCGTGAGTCATATGACCCGATATCCGACACCCAGAACGCGACCAACTCATGCACTCAAGACCACAAGCCAACAATATTAAACACCAGAAGAAAAATTCGAACACGGTGACGAGGAATAAGAATTTAAATATTTACGTTACAACATCATTACCGCCAGTCGAAAAGCAAATTTACAGAATCCGGAACGCAAATATTTGCCATTTGGCAATTCCAATCGCGTTCCTCCCGCTCCAAATGGAACAGCATCATCACCATCATCATCATCTTAACACAACGTTCTAGATCTTCCACTCACCTGTCTTTGTGTTCGGCCGCCCTGTCTCTTTGTCTCCGGTTCTTGAACCAATTGGAGACTTGGGTGGTTGTCAGTCCCGTCGCTTCGGCCAACTCTCGTTTCTCCCTCGGACTTGGATACGGGTTGTGCGAATACCATTCTCTCAGAACGCTTCTGGACTTCTCTTTAAAACAATAACTCGTCTCCTCGCCATCCCATATCGTTCGTGGCAATGGGAATTTCCGCCTGACCCTGTACTTACCGACGGCACCAAGAGGCCTACCTGTAAACAAAAACCAAACAGAAGTTATTTGTTTGTTGCAAAACCAACGTCTTTCATCACCATCGCACTCAAAACCGCTCCACCACCAACCGCATTCTATTTACTTTATCCTCCAACAAAAATATTTTCTTTTCCAATCACTACATTTAACTCTAGTAAAAGTAAATTGGAACGCAACGTTTCAATATCGATCATTATATTTTCAGATAAAATTATTTTTATTCAAAACTATAACGATTATAAGATGAGTCTCAATATTATGAAAAACTTCGGTCGAATTATATAAAATACCATAAGATGAAACCCAAATTATCTACGTAAAGATCATGTATTAAGTAAACTGTAATATGTAGTATATCATATGACACATAGATTACTCAACGAAAGTAAAATATACGTAATCCATCAAAAGATTTAGTATTCAAATACATTTGATAAAAATAAAATCAGAATACAAATTTAATTATCATTCATCTTAGTATGAAATAAAAACAGATGACATAAAAGCAAATAATGAAGATGCAGAAATGAAATATTCAAAATTTGTAAATAATATATGTTTATGTAAAAATTTCTCAAAGATTTTAATTAAATTATTTGGATAAAACTAACATCTTGATACAATACAACAATTTCTCAAAACTCGCATTTTTATGGAAGTATTAATTGAAAATGTAAAAGTTTATGAAAATATTTGTTGTTTTTTCTTGGATGTATTAAGTTAAATGATTAGTTATAAAAATAGTTATAAAAAGAAAACTATGTTTAAATCTATTTTATAATTTGTTTTCATATTGTTGTTATTATTTAGAGACAATTGGTTAATGCGATGAATCAGATCATTGTGTGTTCACTTCAATTTGCTGCATAACATTTTAAGCGTTAATAGGAAGTACCCTCGATACATGAAGTGAAGTGCAGCAGACATTGAGGTCGTTGTTCCACGTTGTATTGTCTGGCCGGTCAAAAAGAGAGCAAACACTTTGCGTAAATAATTCCTCTGAGTGTTCGCATTTGATCATGGATAGACACGAATGGGAATGGGAATGCGAATGAGTCGTTTGTGCGGTTTGCGTTTGTCCGCAGCTGCTCTTTTCCCATATTTTTTGGTAGAGCTCAATGTTTTTAATTACACATCGCGCGTTCGCCTTCCGCTCGCTTTTTACCCAAAAATACTATTTATACAACCGCGATCCTTCGATTTCAGCTAATTCTCCTTACAACAACAGGAACACAGATGTCATTAGTTTTTCTTTGCGGACGCACAAACACGCCACGAACCTAATATCCTTGCCTCGAGTTGTTCCAAACCAAATGTTTCACAACATCTTCATTGCCTCCACCGATGCATTATTATTACAAGCCCAGTTTAGGTGCCCATCTCGGATTCACTCTCAAAATACATCGCGTTTTGAAATAGAGTGAACAAAATTACACGTACACACTTTCTTCATGTAAATGATAAAATGTATACACAATTATACATATTTAATTAATTGTATTTTCCCAACACAAGTTTCAAACAAGATATGCCGGACTGTTTGAAACCGGACAATATATATCCAAAAATTGATTTGACTGTATAAAGCGAATCGAAGCGGTATTGTATAACTATTGATAATATACTGAAGTAAAAGCAAGTATAGATTATCACATTTGTTTATTCCTACTTATTTGATATAGCTTTGAACCATAGTCTATCAAGAAAATTGACCTATCTCAATGTATAATTGAAGAAATTGGTAAAACACCATTAATAAATATAAGAAACATATTAAATAAAACATCTCAAACGAATTGAAATCATTTTTAGAAATAATTGTACATTGATGGAATACCTCTTAATCTCTCGGCTTCCACGTAGTGAGCTTTCAGCCAGAGCGCTTGTAGTTTGGCGTGGTTTTGCGGGCTGAACGTGTGACTCTCCAAAATCCTGTAAAGCTCTTTGAAGTTGCCTCTGTGGAAGGCCACGATGGCCTTAGCTTTCAGCACGGACTCGTTGTTGTGCAATTTATCACATGCAGGCAGAGACCAGAGGAATCGTCCAAGTCGTTCCACATTGCCGGCTTGTTGCAAAACCTAGAAAATAAATATACATATTGATTAATCTAATACACATATACCTTACGAAATCGATACTTCGGGCTCGTGATTTATAGGCTTTTGAAAGTGGGGTTCGAGCTTCGAAACTCTCGCTATTTTTAAACTGAACGAAATATCCAGCAAGTGTCGTTAGTTCGCATTCCCGTTACACCTCCTACACCCATTTTAATGCTAGATGCCCATTCATCAAAAAAATATACACATATATTGTGTTTACGTGTAATATTATATACAGTGATGGTATTAATTTCGACATGATTCTAGGTATAATAACAGATCTGCTGGGCTAGTGGATCGTGTTGGCATGCATGAATTTATTATCAATTTGGACGACGCACATATTTCTTTCATGCGCACACTTATTTTGTTCTTTCATTATTTCCTCAACGTTTCACAAAGTTCCATAGGCCGCGCGTGGGTTCTGACCCAAAAACTGGACACTAATCACACAACTAAACTTACAATTCGAGTCAATCAATCAGCAAACATATGCAATTTTCATTTTTTCCTCCACTCATTTACATTTTAATCGAACTATATGTAATAATCATAGTATTTATAATGAATTCCAAAGTGTAGAAGTGAGAATATAATATTTTATTTTTTTATAAAGGTTGTATTTACATCCCACGCTTGATTTTTCTCATACATAATTTATCCTGACAACCGCATATATCGAATTAAAAAAAAAACGTTTAAATTCCAAATCAATTTAATTAGTATTTTCACATTTATTAATCCAATTAATTCGTTGCATTTCAGAACGTTTCAATCATCAAAACATTGAATTACACAACAGCTTTTTGTTACATTAATAAGCATATTAATTAACGGTTGAACAATAACTTGTATTCATTGTTATATGTTAAATGCACAAACAATACATTAACCAAACAAAAGATCGCACTAATTATACCACAAAAAAGAGTCATAATTACATATATTTCATCAATTTTAACAATATGTTTTCTAACTTATTTTTTTCAATATTCATTACAACAAAACAGTTTTAAAATTAATATATTTATTTCTGCTTCTCTTCATGTTTGTAACAGTAAAGAATTTATTATAATAAACTTCATATGAATTTGAAAAGAATACGAGTGTTTACAATTTCAATCAACCTGTTTTATAGCGTTGCTAGTGAAAAAATGGTTTATAAAATAGCTGCAAGTAATGCAATTGTTTATAAAACATAGCATATTGTTTTGTCAATAATGTTATAAAGTACCGACTCGTATAGTACTATATAATATACGTAGTATTACGTAATTTGAATGAATTCTTGCCAAAAACTCATATTTATAACGTAAACAACAATACCTTGAATAGTGCGGCTTCTAACAGACCGGATTCACTATAATCCGCTTCTTATTCTTTTTATATAAAATTTATCGTTTTTTCTTCAATACAATCAAGATGCTTTTGGTGTTGTTTATTTTTATCCGGTTCTAAAGTCCTCGATTAGTCCTAGTTCAAACAGATTATTCGCACTATGAGAGGCAACATTTTTTTTACTACCTTAGATGAAAATACATAACACCAATACCTCGAATAGTGCGGCTTCTATCAGATCGGATTCACTATAATCCGCTAATTAGTATTTTTATATAAAAATTATCATTTTTTCTTCTATACAGTCAAGATACTTTTGGTGTTGTTTATTTTTCTGCCGTTCTAAAGTCCTCGATCAGTCCGATTTCAAACAGATTATTCGCACTATGAGAGGCAACTTTTTTTTACTACCAATTCAAGTTCATCTTCATTTGCTACCAATGCCCATTGGCAATGATGAATGGTCTGTAGAAAGAAGTTTTTAAAATGATTTAGATGAAAATACATATGGTTTCTAGTAAATTCGTTCTGGAAATGATAAAGTCAAAAGTAATGGCATGTCATGGCATAAGTCACGAAATTTTCTGACTTACACACATATACATACACACAGAAAAAAGGCTGACAAATATTATGGTCCCATAAATGAAGAGTATCCTGAAGTGAAAGAAGTCAAAAACTACGAGCACATCTGCAATACAGAAGAAACACGTTGTCCAGAACCGAATCTAAATATAAAATAGAAACATACGCTCGTTTCTGTTTGTTGTTTCAAACATAATTAAAAATAACAAGCAAAAATAATGATTGTATAAATGTTTATTTTTATTTTATATATTTACATAAATATTAGAAGTTCTTTCGTATTGATTTAAAGCACAAAATTATTTGTTGTTTAATGCGAGTATGATTTTCAAGAATGAATTATTGAATGTTTTCTTATAAAAATATCATGACATTATATTTTTTAATGATTAATTATTATCCTAATTAAGTCGGAGTATTCATTATTTTATTTCAACAACATTTGTTACGTAACATTTTCATGTAAACATTCAATTTATTTTCATCATTATTTTTTCTTTGACATTTTGTATTTCTTACAATCCGATCATCGATCATGAAATACTTGTTTATGTTAAGATTTTGTTACAAATACAGTAAAATTATTAAATCACTGATATTTGAAAAAGACGTTAATACAAACATCTAAATTTAGTTTTAGATCATCTAAATATAAAATTATGTTACATGTATGAAAACTTGTATAATTCTAATTATAATTTTTTCTGTTTACAATACGTAAAATCAACATTCATTGTTGAATAATTTAATCTGAGTTGTTATTTTTTTTGTTATACCTTTATCAAATAAATTCGAATAATAAACAACGCAGTTGTAAACAGTGCTGTAGGTCTATCTTGATGCAAATTTATCTTGATGTAAATATAAACAACAGCTGTTGTTATCTTGTTGTTATTGTTAGCAACTGGGCTGTCCCTTGTTATTCTGCCCATTATGTAAGTCAATAAAAAATAATAATTGACTCATTTCATCTTTATCCTAAACTGCGAATCCTGGAATTGCTCATTCGTGTTATCAATATTTTCTGCAGATAAGATTCTCGACTGCGCGCATTCTTTATTACCATTTATCCAATCTTTTATAAGCAAACATAACTTACATTTTATTTGCAAACTCGAGTATGCTAGAATATGTTTAAAAGTATAGTTTTATTTGCAATTCAAAAAATATACAGTTTATTTTTCGATTTCTTGCTTTTATTTTACGTTCATTTCTTTTTTAATTAATAATTTTCATATGAAATACATTTACAGAACAGAATAAATTCGCGAAATCTCATAATATTTATTTTATTAGGTCCATAAAGATCTAGTTTTTCATATATTAAAGAGCCACAGGCTCTAGCACATAGTATTTCTTATACAAATTTAAATATTTAATGGGAGCCGCACTTAACTCAACTAATAAAACAGATTGAAAATTGATACACAGAAAAAAAATAAAAGAATTTAAGAAATTCGTCTTATTTTATCATTTGTAAGCATAATATTCTAAAAATTTTCAAAAACGTTACGAATAATTAAGAGACTATGTAAATAATAATATTTCTTACTTTCAACATTCAAACTAATAGCATTTCATACATTACATAATATATTTTTCATGATTTTAATATAATAGTTTAAAAAGTATTTTAATTATTGAAGTAATAAAATAAGAGTATATTTCCATCCAAAATAACATATATTTGGTATTATTTCTTGAATTTAAAAGAATTATGCTGTAAAACTATTATACAAAAATTGTATCAAGTTTGATAAATATAACATTCAGTTTACTTATATCCAAATTATATCTCATTTAATTGTAATTCTGTTGTAGTTTACGTCAAAACGTTACATAAATTTGTTATTTCATATAATTTGAAAGAAACAAAATAAAAAATCATATTTTTTATTAAATAATCTTCTGAAACTAAATTTATCATTGAGAATTCCAATTTAATTGATATTTCCAATATTTTAGTTGAAAATCGAAAATTGTATTGTTTGTTAAATAATATATTCATTGTATTTGAAAGATTTTTGCTTTAAAATTATAAATAGTTATTGAATTTTAATTTCTTATACTTATTGCTAACAGATATTTCATAGTTTCTGTGAAGAGTTGCTGAAATATTCATATACTTTTTATTTGTGCTTAAGAAAAATTTTAATGTGTAATGTTAATGTTATCCATAGTTTTTGTATGGAAAAACAAGCTATACGATTTGTTATTATATAATTTAAAAGAAACAAAATAAAAAATCATATTTTCTATTAAATAATCTTCTGAAACTAAATTTATCATTGATAATTCCAATTTAATTGATATTTCTAATATTTTAGTTGAAAATCGAAAATTGTATTGATTGTTAAATAATATGTTCATTGTATTTGAAAGATTTTTGCTTTAAAATTATAAATAGTCATTGAATTTTAATTTCTTATACTTATTGCTAACAGATATTTCAGAGTTTCTGTGAAGAGTTGCTGAAATATTCACATACTTTTTATTTGTGCTTAAGAAAAATGTTAATGTTAATGTTACCATAGTTTTTGTATGGAAAAACAAGCTATACGATTTGTTATTATATAATTTAAAAGAAACAAAATAAAAAATCATATTTTCTATTAAATAATCTTCTGAAACTAAATTTATCATTGAGAATTCCAATTTAATTGATATTTCTAATATTTTAGTTGAAAATCAAAATTGTATAAATAATATGTTCATTGTATTTGAAAGATTTTTGCTTTAAAATTATAAATAGTCATTGAAATTTAATTTCTTATACTTATTGCTAACAGATATTTCAGAGTTTCTGTGAAGAGTTGCTGAAATATTCACATACTTTTTATTTGTGCTTAAGAAAAATGTTAATGTTATCCATAGTTTTTGTATGTAAAAACAAGCTATACGATTTGTTATTATAATTTCGTTACAGTTTAAATTCTAGATCAGAGATAATGCGGAATGGGTTTTAGCGTCGGACAGGTTCCGAGTGTAATTAATGAAGTTTTTCGGTCGGACGGGCGTTATTATTGATGGTCCGATACATATTTTACCGCTCATAAATGGCCTTATTGAGTAGATGATAAATAGTCGTAGGTGTTTAGGTAGGTAGTCGTGTAGTTTAATAGTAATTCTCTCACCTCGCAGACGCACGCAACTTGTTCCTGCGTAAATCCAAAACTCGGCAGGGGACTGTGGCGCGGAGGAGGACTATACGGAGGCGTGGTCCCAGATCCAGGAGTCCCGTATCCCAATCCTGCCGATAACATATTGTTGTCCGCGGTAAAATGTAAATAGAGCGGAGATACAAGCAAATTTCGGACACAAAATCACTTGACGAACATCACACTGCGCGTAGAAAATGTAGATGCGAATGATCCGATTGCATTGTGCTAAACGCGAGTTTCTTGTGACGCAACGCTTCTTTAATTGGTAACACTTCTGGGGGAGACACTCTCAGCTTGTTGCTTATTTGTTTCTTCTTCTTCGAATGGATGTATTTGTATGGTACACGCTCGGAGGTGTCGGAGAAGTTGCTTCGAGCAACAACCTCGAACACGCTTTCGATCGAACTGGTTGATGGTCGGAACAGGATTCGGAATAGAAAGCGGGACGTGGGCGTGGCCGACGGACGGTCGTTGGGCGGAGCTTAGATTGGAGACGCACCAATCGCGTGCTCTTCCATCGGTGATATTCCGGGTGTTCGGATGGTGAATGCGCGAGGTGGAGAGGTGAAAATTTGTTAAATGTTAACAAGCTGTTTACTGTAGTTCGGAGGTGTAAAATACTTTTGCCGGTATTTAAATTGGGTTTTATCTCTGGAAGGCACGGTGTAAGGATATGGGAGGGGCCTCTTTACCACTCGCAACAGCATTACTGACTTATGGACTCCGACTTGTCTAACCATTTATTTCAATTCTGTATCCATAATTACTCGCAGCATTATATTTATTAACGCCGCATGAAAAATCACTCGCGTACGCAAATAAGGTGAAACGGACATTGCCGGACTATATAATGTTATATAAATCTGCTTCGCCAAACGGTAATTAGCTTTATAAATTCTACATGACTGCATGCAACATTCATATTACCTTAAACACACTTTTATTGCCATACCTACAGATTTTTCAACTTTAATTATTATTATCTACAACCTATCCCTACATTTTATTAAAATAATTTTACAAGAATTAAATCCACTATTTTTACTTTGCATAATAATTAAACACATATCTTACTTAGTATGAAATAATAACGTTAATTGCAACAAAAATAAAAAGACAAAATTTACATTATAACAGTAAAAAAATAATAATATATAAGTCTTTCCGTTCCATTATAATACTTGTTATTTATTTGATTTTAACCTAGTACAATAAATAAATTAAGAATCAAATATTTCTGAAACATTTATATTGTTTAATAAAATAAATTATTAAATATCATATCAGAAAATACAAATGTATATTATATTCAATATATTCAAATATAAAAGAATTTACATATAGAAAATTGTACACAAAAAAAACTGTAAAATTATATATTATTTAACATGTTTTATAATAATAATAAGATATATAACAATAAGGTCATGTTATATATCTTATTATTATTATAAAACAATTATTTTATTTGGAAATAAATAATTAATTTTGTTTTATTTAAATAAGTGCGGAAAAACAACGGTCGATAGTCTTTAGGTCTTAAATGCACTAATAAAACTTGTTATTATTTAAAAACTTCAATATTTTTTATTATATTCAACACTAAATATATTATTATATCAAAACTGAACAAACTATCCAACATAATTATATAAATTGTATGCTATTATAGTCTTTAGTATTTTCATGATATGATACATATTAAAATATCATAAATTTATAATTTCTTTAATTGTAAATAAGCATAATCAAAATTTAACATCTTACTATTAGCAGAAATTAAATAAAACTTTTGGTAGATATTTAAGAAAATACAAAATAATAATTTTATTTATTAAATCCTATATTTTCGATATTTTTACTATATATTTTGTATTAATTACATGAATTTAAGTCAATTATGTATAAAATACGCCTATCTCAAAAAGATCCCATCAAAATTAGTTCGAATTTGGAAAATATGACTGTAATCAATAAAAGAAAATATGTGTAACTAAGTAAACCAAATTGTTTGAATTTTTATGTAAAAAAAACTACAAAAAATAAATTAGATATAAAATAATAAGAAAAACAATATTTCAAAAAATATGAACTAAATTACTTAAATAATTGTAATACAAATATTATTATAAATATTATTAGAATTGCAAACTATAATTAAATTTAAGCTTAAAACACGGTGTTAAGAACTATCCATGAGTTACGAAATGAATTATTATATTTAATTTATAGGTGATTGTGGAAATCCAACGAGAACGCTCTGCAAAATGCTGACAAGAGGAATTGATTTATGATTTCAGGAACAAACAGCAATATAAATCAGGATGAAAAGTCATACGGTCTGTGCACATTTGTAGCTATGTGGATTTGATTTGTTAATAATACTTGAAAAAAGGAAGGAGCCGTGAGGAAATTACTGCACGATTTTGATATATATCAGGAAACAGCGGTATCCACAATTGTACAGTTTTAAGTGTAACTTTAATTGAAAATGTTAATAATTATTTAAAAAGGAAAAATTATCTACAATTTTTCTTCCCTTTCTAAAGCGGATTTTCAACCGGCGGAAGTAATTAACCGGACTATGCGAGGTATCTAAATGCTTCAATACTTATATAGATTAATTAATTTCAAATGTAGTTATATAAGAGATTTAAAAAAATATATTTAATTCGATTTTTTTCATGAATTAATCAAATTTTCATTAAATTTTTCATCAATCTATATTAAAGCAATCTGATAGATGTTATTTATTTATTTCTTAAATAATTAGAAAGTAACCAAAACAAAGAAATGCAAGTTGCATTAAATATTTCAGATATGCTCGTTTCTTTATGAGATTAACATATGGTAGATATAGTTTTGAAGTTATCTGAAAACAAGATCTGTATTATAAAATTATTATTTATATATTACATTTAAAATCAAATGCATTAGACTTAAAGCGTAGAAAAAAAATGTGATGATGAATGTTTTCACCGGAGACATATGCGTTTTTATCCAAAATCGGTTCACAATCCTTTCTTTCCGTCTGTCTTTTTTGTACCAGACAAACAGATTCCCCGAAACACCGTATTATCGACTAGATTTATGTTTGATCTGATAAAAGGGGACGAGAAATGAAGAATAGCAATACCAGAAGGTGTGAACCCTTTTCCGTATTATTCCGCAACGATCGGATGAGCAGATAGAAGAAGGAAAATACAGGAAAAAAAATAATGTATATGTGTATATATACGTGGAGTGTTTTCAATAAGAAAATGTGATATACACTTTTCTTTCAGGGGTAGTTTGTAGGATGTGTTCGCCGCGTGAAATATGCAAAGTGTTCCTCTCATTCCGTGCATTTGCATGGGTGGCTTCGACCCATAAAACACTTCCACAATGAAAAGCTATCACACGACGAGCGATACACTATGATATCCGATACAAGGATGTTTGCGGATATATTAAATACTGGAACGACTCGAATTTCTCGTAATGTTATATAATAGTTTATGGGTTTCATTTCAACAAGTTATGGATTGTTCGCGAACCTCTCTAAATACCTATAATGACATTACCAAAATACATATAAATAAACGTAAAGTATTATAATTTAAAGATCAAACCTTCAAATTTTACAAAAGTTCACTTGTTTCGAACATTTTTTAAATGCTTATAAAATATTTTATAAGAAATTTATTGATAAATTCTTTGATTTTTATATTTTTACTTTTAAGTTAATTTTAATTACATTGTTTAATTAACAAATAATATTTTCTCATTATAAATTAAAGAATTAAAGATCTAGATCTAGAGTAAAAGATCTAGATTTAAAGTAAAATTGATTTTTGTTGATGTTACTTTCAAAGTTATGATAAATGTATCTCTTATTTACAAATCATTATATAAAATACATCTATAAATCCCTGTTTTATTAAAAATCATACTTATTTGAAAATTGTTACGTAAATCATTATTTTCTTACCCTTTATTTTAAAGTAATTATTTAAGATTATTTTCTTTTTCAATACTCATTTTTTGTCCCTTTTTTTCTACTTAAACCACGTAACTGTTGAAGTATAAAATGTTCAATGAATCTTTAAAAATAGTTATTATTGTTTAAAAAAAAATAAGAAACTATTTCTATAATTATAAAACACTTAAATCTAAAGAATAAAATATAGATCTGCACTCCGTTAGATTTTAATTGTTATTTATCTCATGCATATAAAATGCGAGGAATTCGTTTTCCACATAAAATCCGTTAGTAACTGCTAGTTTTATTAAACAATAAAACATGGAATCTGTGCTTCAGCATTTTTTTTTAAACATTTTATTATAGAACACGCTTGAAAACCATTTATTTATTAAATATTTACGTAACATTTGATATTTGAAAAATTAACAAAAAAATGTGTATATTTTATTCATAACTCGTGAAGCTTCTACAGTTTCCCAAACTATTGCGTTACAATAGAAAAATATATTGACAATGTAATAGAAAACATATAGAATTACAATTATTTGAAAACAATACAGAAATGCGCATATAAATTTCATTTTTAATTCCATTACAATTAAAATATATCAATTTCATAATGCTGAAGTTGTACATGAAGTATAGTCATACTTCGGTTAAAATTACCTCCAATAACGAAACTTAGATATAATGAAGTTCGCAATTCAAGCCCTATTTAACAATAAAAAATATTCCAATTTTAAGGCCAATCATCATCCGACAAAATTTGATCAGAATTTGTACTAGAAAAAGAAAATAAAATCCCTGAAACTAAAAATTAGATTATATCCAGATGGCAGAATCAATCAATTTCAAATATATCGATGAAGAGAATGTTAGAAATTTATTTCACAATTGATTAGATTATGTTTTTTTCTGTGAAAACATTTATAGTTCCTGCCAGAAAATGTTAACAACCAAAGATTTTAAAATGTGCGTAAAAAGCATGAAAAAAGTAAAAAGCATAAAATAAGAAAATACATTGTCTGATCTCATTCATTTAATAATGCAAAACCTTTATATTTTCTATATTGATTAAATTTTTATACAAAAATTAAGATGAAGTTGTGTAAAATAATATTTTCAATTTTCTGCCTTTAAAATGAAA